CTTTTTTTTTAGGACAAAAAGGGATGGAATTTGTAACGCTTGAACAATCTTTTGTCACTCTTGAAACGAAACAAACACACATACAAATAAAAGTAAAACTAAGAGATAATCCAAAAAAACGTAAAGGCTGAAAAATTAAGCAAACATTTAACAAAAAGAATATTAAAAAAAAATTATTTATTTAATCACAGTTTTTCTTAAGTTGGGAAGTAAAATAGCCTGAACAAATTCAGCGGGAAATTGACACCTGAGGCTAAAAAGGTGGGGGCTAAACACTGTTTTCACCTCAAAATCGTTATGCCATGAGGAAGTTGAAAAAAATTCGAGAAAGTTTTAAATTAAGAAATTATTTTTATAGACTTCCGAGAAAACCGGTGATTTAAAAAAAAATAAATAAAAATTAAATAAAAATATTTTCGTTATTAAAATTATATTTTATCGGCAATTATTTCCTGGAATATTTTATTTTTGTTTAGTTTTTTAACACGCTCTTCCACCATGATCGAAAAATTCCTAAATAAATAGAAAATAATACTTCAATCTCAGATCAAGGACACACAATCTTTTAGCCTAAGCGACTCTTTCACTCGTACGCTTTACAATCTTTTCTGTAAATATACAAAAATAAACATACGTGTGTGCACACACGCACGTGAGTTTGTAGAAGTAAACGTAGTAGTGTTTCTACAAGCTTCTTTATTTCACTCTATAAGTTTAAGCGCATTAAGGTGACCTGTTTCTCCAGATTAAAATGAAAAATAATTAAAAACAAGCAAAAAACCTTATGTCAAAACCTGTGTTGTACGAACATTTAAAATTTCCAAAGTGAATAAAAAAAAAACGAAAATTAAAAAAAAAAAAAAGTAAGTCACCTCTAAAATTTTTATTGTGTTTAGTTTAGTTTATTTAACCAACGTGTATGGGACTGTCCGATGTAGCCCAAAAACCGGTTCATAATTTTTTTATTTTATTTTTAAATAAAGTGTACCTCCAGGAGGTAGGCAGTCATGGTCCTTCACAGCTCCCTTTTTTCTTTATTTCTTTTGTGAATTACCATGAATTCTTGGGAAAAAAGTTAATGGAGTGCTTCCCAGTTGTCTTTCGCCTAGACTGGTAGCCACCCCAGGCTAAAGAGTCTGGTCTACTTTGCTATTTAACCCCTAGCTGTTGGTGGTGTGTGAGAAAAAGATCTGGACCTTTCCGAAAGCAAGTAAACAAAATAAAATAAAAACTATGTAGGTTCGAGCTTGAGTTCAATTCGCCGATGACACGCTACCCGCACAGCCTGCTCCCAAATTTTAAACTGACAGAAACTCCCTCAACTCGATATATATATATATATATATATATATAGCCCCAATAATACTTTAAAAAAAGAAAAAAAAAGGCTAAAGAACTCTATAATTATTAATTTAAAATTATCCACTTAAAAAAAAATAAAATAAGATTAAAAAAGACATATGCTAATGAAGGACCCGAATCAAATCCCCAAAAGTTCATCTGAGTGAGAAAAAATTAATTAAAACATTTAAATTGGTCCAGTGTCCCTCGGAAACGAACGTCGTTGAAGCATGGTGAATTGTCAAGTAATGTCAGAACTTCTAAGCTAAACTACAGGTTGAAGAAGTAATTAAAGTACAATCATACCGACTGAATTAAAGAAAAGAAAAAAGCCCGTCTTAATTTCACTTTAAGAAGTAGCCATTTGCTTGTTTCTTAAATAGGAACTTTACATACTTGGGAAATCATAAAAGACACATTATCTGTTATCATATGCAAACAAATTTTAATAATCATTGTTACATTCTAATTCTATACGACACTTAACACGTTTACTCAGGGTAATTCATTATTTCAAGTCAATTTCCTAAATACTTTTATATATATATATATATATATATAAATATATTAAAATTTTCCCAGAATTAATTACTGAAATAGACATGCCTCATAGCTTCACATATTTTCAAATGGGAGTGAAAGTCATATTTATCTCGGGTTTATATATCCAGGGATTTATAATTTTTGTACCTGGACCCACAGCTGTGTCGTGAAGGCATCACGAGCCAGGGATAGTAATACGGATTTACTAAGCCCAGCTTAGATGTGGCACAAGGCCAAAAATATGGAGCACCCAGTGAGGATCGAACTCACTGTTCAGTTGTATTGTAATTGATCTCTAGCGAGACAAGCTTGCTAAACGATTTCATTACACCACGTCGAAGTGAGTGTGTACATAGAAATAAAAATAAAGTAGGTTTTTAAAATCTCAGGCCTCCACACGTTTTATTGTTAATCAAAAATAAATAAAAGGTATTTTTTTTTTTTTAAATCTCATTCTTCCTCATGTTAATCATTTTTTTTAGAAAAGAGTGTTGGAGGGGTTACGTCCCGCCTGACATTTTAAACAATACAAGACAAAAAATAAAAAAAACAGAAAAAAAGACAAAACAAATTTATTAGTATTATTTGCATGTTTACCTGCAGATTGTTGGCTTGATTGTATCCTAATAAGGGTTCCATCGTGCTGTTTGAGTGCTAGCCATATTAATATAACCATTAGCATGGTAATTAAAAGGATAGCGGCCGCGACGGACAATCGAAAAGAGCGCGACTTGCGGACACGAACGAAAGCGATCTTGATGAAGTTTTCCTGTCTAGGCCGGGCGAACTTTAGGTCGTCCACATTGTTAGCCATGTCCTGATACTCATATTCCACCTGTTTGGCCAGGTGGACTTCTTCAGGATGATACATGATGAAAAATAAGGATGAGGATCGGTTTTTTTTTTTTTTTTTAATTCAACTTTTTTCCCCCCTCTTTGTTTTATAAAAGTTACTTTTTTTTCCTGGTCGATTCACACCTGAGTTGTTTTTTTCTTGTCAAGTTGTGGATTCCGTTTTCAACTTATATTTCGAGAACTGTAATTTGGTAATAGTTTCCTTTGTCTCGTCTTCTTTGTTATTTTCTTTACCTCCACTAGTGTGAATATTTCAAGAGACTGGCCAACGCTCACCTTTCTTACACGGCTGACAGTGGGGACACCTAGCGGACAGGTAACAAACTATAACAGCTTCAGGTGTTTAAAAAAGTAGTATAACTAACTACAAAAGAAAAAAACTCTATTTTTCTTTCGTTGCTTTGTATTTAAAAGCGAATATAATCTTCCAACGTTTTTCTTTTTAATCTTAGACAAACGATCACATTATTTTACTTTTAAAAATTTATTTAATTCATCTGATTTAAAAAAAAAAAAATATTTGATTTGTAACCTTTCCGTATTTTCCTCCTAGTTTCCAACTAGAAAAACTATTTTCAACTGAAAATGTTTTGTGAATTTTGTACAATAAGCTTCTGATTTAATAATTGTGTTGTCATTAACCCCCACTCAGAGGGTTGAAATTATTTTTCATTACTACAAGAAATTAACTGATATTTTAATATCGTTGAATAATACTTTAAAACCGGCATTTCTTCGATTCATGATTGTCGAGTTTATAATATAATTATTCTAATTAAACAATTACTTGTTAAACTTAGAATTCTGTATTTAATTTTCATTTATGAATGGGCATGCTACAGTTTCGATAATATTGGAGTTATTTCTTATGACTGCAAAGCATTTTAGAAGATTAAGTCCAGAACAAATAGAATTTATTCGTGAAATAAATCTTTTCTTTTTTTTCCTGGTAAAATTCCAAAATCGATTTTTTTTTTTTTTTTTTTTTGCTTTGGATCGTTGTACACAGTCTTCAAGTAAAATTAAACATTTGATTATCAGTAAGAAAATCCGCAAAGAAAATTTTATTGTACTAAAAAAATTAAAAAAAAAAAAAAACAAAACAAAAAAAAAACCAAAATAACTGATGACAAGTTGAGAACTAAATCGCTTTTTACTACAAAAAAAGGATATAAAAAAATACAAATGATTTTTTTAAAGATACTACACAGTGAAAATATTTATTTTTAATTTAACGTAGAAATAAAATTTTATTAATTTTATTAACTTATTAATTAATTGGTTTTTTTACTTTTTTATTTTAAATATTTTAAATATTTTTTTGGTCTTACCTTTCTTAGTTTTTTTAACTATATTTTTATATTTTAAAATTTTTTTTATTTTGGTTTTCATTGACCGATAGTCGCAGAAATGATTAAACTTTAATAATTAAGGAAACAAAAAAGTAATTAATAGTTTTCCGTTATGAAAGAGTTTACTTTAATTAGGAAATTAAGGAAAAAAAAAAAAACTGTTGAATTTTGTAGTTAAATTATTGAACTTTCTAGTGACGTTTTAGTTTTTAACTAAACTGAGAAAAGAGAAATTGGAATTATTTATTTTTTTTATGATGGCAGGAAATTAGCGGAAAAATGATTTCTGGAAAAAAAAAAAAATGACCAATTCAAGAAAATAGACGTTTCAAAGTTTCCGATTCACATTTAATCATTTTTTTTTTTTGTTGATTTAGCTGCGAAAATAAAAGTTTTTACACAGGTTTTAAATTGATGCCAAATTTGTATTGTTTTTTTTCCCCGTTTCTTTTTGTGACGTTTCCTGATATTTTTTTTAAAGATCTTAAATGTTCGTGTCAGACTTTCGTTACATTTACTACACAAATCGCACTCTTTCTTCCGATTTCTCTTTTTTTTTATTTTTTTTATTTTTTATTTTTTTTCTGGTTTGTTTTTTTTTTTTTAAATTAATTCCTTTTTAATTTTTCTTTTCAAAAATTCTGTCTTCCTTTTATTCCTCTCAATGGAGGTCCAGTTGTTTTAAAATTGAATAAAAAAAAAAAACTTGAAAAAAAAAAAACTTTTTCCGTGTCCTTTAAAATATTTTCCTCCTTACAATCGGATTCCCAATTGCTTAAGAAGCAAGAATTAAGAAAACCTTTTTTCCGTATTTTTTATCTTTTTTTTCCCCTTTTTCCACATACAAATTACACAGACGAAAAATCCACGTCTAAATTCCATGAACTACCGACCACCAAGTGTAATAAGATGAGAGATCTCTCGCTTCCAAGCGCCGTCTTTCTTTTCTCTCTCGCTCTCTCCTGTAATTTTTCCAATATAACACTCGTCACTAAACACTACTACTAATAAAAACTACAAACCATGTGTGTATGTGTGCACGCGTATTGTATGTTACCACTATCAGCAATAGTAGTACCAATTCTCTCGCAAATACTTGTGGATATGTAAAATCTCCAAGACGAGCAGTTCCACTAGTGACGTCCTTCTGTAGAATCTTGGAATATTCTCCTTCCTTCAGTTCTTCAATTCAGCCGGTTCGAGGTAACCATACCAATTGAGTGTGCGAGAAATTTAAGCGGACGCTCGTTTTCCAGAGGGAAATTTTATAAAGTTTTAAAAATCAAGCTTGTTAGGCATATTTTTTTTTTTTTTGAGTGTCGGTTAATTTCACTTAATTTTCATTTATATAATTTTTTTTAATTTTTTTTTTTTTTTATTATTATTTTGGGGATTGTTTTTTCATTATTTTGGGGGGTACTTTTTTACATTATTTTGGGGTACACATTGGGAATATTGTTTTTCTCATTTTAGAGGGTACTTATATTTGGTGTTACTTTATTTTTTTGGGGGGGGAGGGTACATTTTTTTCATTTTTGCGTGTACTATTTTCTTTGAATTTGGGCGGGGGTATTTTTTTTTTTTCATTATTTTTGTTTGTACTTTTTTTCCTTTATTTTTGGGGGTACTATCGTTTGCTTATTTTTGGGTGTACTATTCCCTTAATTTTTGGGTGTACATTTTTCCTTATTTTGGTAGGTACTTTTTTCTTTATTTTCGTATGTAATTTTTTCATTATTTTAGAAATACTTTCCTTTTTTTCTTATTTTTTTTTATCCGATCACACGACGCATGGGAACTGGCTAGCAGTAATCATTTATTTGGTGGAAAAAATGGTTTCCTGAAAAAGCAATTTAACAAATCTTGACAATAAGTTCAATTAAAGATTTAAAACAAATACATTTCATTATCGAAATCAAAATAACTTTTTCTGTTTTGTTTCCTATCAGTTTTCATTTCGTTTCTTTTTCTTTTTTCTACCCCTTTCTTTTTAGTTTTCTTTCTTGATTATTAGTTTATATAATTCTTTTCACATTCCTAATTGTTTTCTTTTTTTACAATTTCCCTTTGTTGAGGTCTTTCTTTCTTTCTCTTTCTCTTTCTTTCTTTCTTTCTTTATTTTTTTTTTTTCTTTACACTTTTTTGTCTTTCTTTCTTTACACTTTTTTGTCTTTCTTTCTTTCTTTACACTTTTTGTCTTTCTTTACAGTTTACACTCTTTGTTTTCTTTCTTTTTATTCTTTCTTTCTTTTTTTCTTTACACTTTTTTGTCTTTCTTTCTTTCTTTCTTTCTTTACACTTTTTTGTCTTTCTTTCTTTCTTTCTTTCTTTACACTTTTTGTCTTTCTTTCTTTCTTTCTTTCTTTTCTTTACATTTTTTTTGTCTTTTTTCTTTACACTTTTTTTGTCTTTTCTTTCTTTCTTTCTTTCTTTTTTTTTTTCTTTTTTCTTTTTTCTTTCTTTCTTTCTTTCTTTCTTTCTTTCTTTACACTTTCTTTTCTTTCTTTACCCTTTTTTGTCTTTCTTTACAGTTTACACTCTTTGTCTTTCTTTCTTTCTTTCTTTCTTTCTTTCTTTACACTTTTTTGTCTTTCTTTTACATTCCACTTCCATCTTTTCTTTCTTCGAATAGTGTTGAAAATCCTTCAAACGAAAAATTTGGTTCGTTGGATAACTTTAGCTTCAACTGGCACACGGTCAGAATTTAAGGTGTACCAGATTCCCTACTAATGACATTTTTATCCAATTCATAACAAACTGCATCTCGTTCGATTGCATTACGTGGGTGAGTACAACACGTGTAAGTAAATCCGTGTATCTGCTTTGTGTGTGTGTTTTTGTTTGATCCGTGTGTAATTACTTATTGGAAGAGCGCGAATTAACGCATAACGGAATTGTTTTATACTTCCGTGCAAATGTATGAGAAGTGTGCATTAAATTTTGTCAGGTACTTGGCGCATATGGGATAAACATCTGTGCATCGCGTAAATGTGTCTCTAATTGAATTTTGTGTGTATGTACGTGTGTCTAATAATCAGTTGTTAAATAACTTAACCCGACATTATTCTTATGAATGTTAGTTACATTTTGGTCGGTTGGTACACGTGTTTGACTAGACATCACTGTTTTTTCCCAGTGAAGTTAATGTTTACCGGTCTGTTATTTCTTTGACAATATTGTCTATCTCTAGACCAGTAGACATTAATTTAAATGTTAAAAAAATAGAGATGTCTACTCAAACACGTTTACCTACTAAAATATAAATTGACTTACGTTTTCTATATGGATAGTTTTACTGTAGAAATGATGAAACACTAACACGATTACTCCACCCGGTCTGCCAGGACGGCCGGCAAGCGGGGTTCTATTTAAAATCTTAAAAGGAAGGGGCATAAATTCTCTTGCCCACTCTGGAACAGGACGTGGTACGTAGATGTTCTTAGAAATCTCCACCGGGAAGTTTTCTTTCTCCGGGCAAAATGACTTCTTAATTTTACAGGACCACGTGGCGATTCACCCCCTACAAACTTACTACAGCTAAGCACATCAAAGATTTTCCTTCTTTAAGCTATCTGTATATAGTCAATTATTCTTCTTTCTCTTGTTTTGTGCGTTATGTTTTACACATACATACATACATATATGAATTACATTACAATTAATGAGAACCAAACAATTTACCTCATGCAGATGATCATTTCGTCCATGTGAAAGTAGTTTTCCCTGGACTTATCAATACATTTACTATATATATATATATATATATATATATATATATATATATATATATATATTAATTATTTTATTATGTAAGTTTCCTATTTGTTCTTTTATTTTATCATCCTGTCGAATTCCGATCCATACTTGATCTTTTATATATATATATATATATATATATATATATATATATATATATATATTCCGACCCATACTTGATCTTTTTATATATATATATATATATATATATATATATATATATATATCTCTCTCTCTCTCTCTCTCTCTCATATATATATATATATACTTGATCTTTAACTTATATAAGTTAAAGATCAAGTATGAATCGGAATATATATATATATATATAAGTTAAAGATCAAGTATGGATCGGAATTCGACAGGATGATAAAATAAAGAACAAACAGGAAACGTACATACTTCGTCAGAGATTTAATTCATGCTCTCTTAATCTCTGTCGAAGCTTTAATAAAAGTGAAACATGTTGGGTTGATGTACGTTTACTATATATATATATATATATATATATATATATATATATATACACACACACATATATATATATATATAGAGAGAGAGAGAGAGAGAGAATTTGTTTTAAGTGTTAACCGCCTCTGTTTCAATTTATAGCACCCCATCCTTACAATATATCTTTCAAAAGGTCTGCATTATAACGTTGTTGCTTTTTGAGATTCGCGGAGGGGCATTCGAAATACATATATTGCCACTCAAACTGAACTTTCGACAAAAATGGATGATGTCTTAATTATATCTAAATTGGATCGTGAAACTAAACAACCAAATTACTAAAATATATGTTGACACGGAAGTTCGGATGTACATAAGGGCGCGTTATGTGATCACAATTCATAAATTTCAACTAATTAGCGCGTGAGAAGAAAATCAAAGTAAAGTTTTCTCGTGACCTACTGCTAAATTACCTTTCTCTTTTTACCCTCAAACAACCAGTAGCGATCGGTCCTCCACCGAAATCTGCACCATTTATAATATGAGAAACATGGCTTCTGTCAAAGAATTGAATATTTAAGAGCATTACCCCCAGATACGGATATGCAATGTAATCGGCCCTGATTTGGTATCTCGTCTACAGCCGTTCTCTCACAGATCTGTCGTCGCCTCCCTCTGCCTTTTCTACAAATACTTTCACCATAACTGCTCCGACGAGCTACTAGTTGCCAGCTTGCATAAATTTAAATGTACAACTAGACTGGCTTCTCGGTCCCACCCTTTCAGTGTTGAAAACTTTTAAATATAGCCGTCTCTTCTACTCCAATAGCTTCATGTCTCACACCTCCCGTCTGTGAAATTCCCTTCCTATTACTTGTTTCCCTGATAGCTATAATCTCCAACTATTCAAATGTAATGTCAGTCGACATCTCCAGATGCCTTGATCTATTCCCCGTCCCTCTCTTCATCCTTTCTTTTTTCACATCTTTTTACAGTCACTCCCTCTCCCTGTAACCCATTGCGTGCTAGTGGCCTCCTGTATTGCTTGGAGTGAAATGCTTAAAAAAAAATACATATGATTGAATATTCTTATAGAAGCACACTATTAACTTGTATGTTGGACATTATCAAAAACGTCTGTAACACACTAGTCCTGTGTATGACAATAAACAACATCCCACAGAAAGGTCTCCAGTCAGGAGATTGCTTGTTTTCAGGAGCGTGGAACCAACTTAATTGCTGTTGTTCCTAGGTCCTCCCTAACTCGGTGTTGTACCAGCGGTTAGGGTCCTGGCCAAACATTTAACCTCCGAACTGTGGTCAAAACACTGAAAGTATAAAAATACAGTTTTATAGAAAAATATCAGCAATACATTTTTGTAAATACTAAAAACCAACAAAATTACCAACAATACATTTTTAAAAAAATTACCAGTGATACATTTTTGTAAAAGAAATGACTAATACTCACAAGAAAATTAAATTTCAGAATTAAATGACCCTCAAGGTGTTGATATGCCGCTAGACAAACATTTGAAAAGCAAAATGACCTGTTATCCATTTTTTTCTGTCGTTGTAGATATACAACTGCGTTCAAAATATATTTAGTTGAAGCCATAAAATTGTGTTCAAATTTAGATTTCGGCATTAGATGACCCACAGAGGTGTTGATATGGCGCTAAATAAACTCAGCCAACAGATACTCATATATTATACAGGACACAGTGCAAAGAAAGACTCGAAATTCTGGAGGCTGTTGTATGGTGTAATAAAAGAGAAGCAACTAAAATTGAATAAGGTGTCTTTCTCAATAGGGGATCCGTAGAGTGAAGAGTGTTAAACACACACACACACGGTTCGACGGTTTATATAACATCACCATGAGTGAGTTGAAATTGATTCCATCAAAAGCGAGGACGCCGGAATTAAAAACCAGTTGCGTAACTACACGCAGAACAAGCTTTTAAAACGGATGGCGTATCATTCGAAAGTACTCGGGGGGAAATAATATTAAATAAAAGTTAATACGAATTTGGGGAAATTTACCGATAAAACAAAACTTATTTCGGAAATTATAAAAATTTAATTAAAAAAAAATTGATAAACAGAAATTGTCCATATTATTTAACAAAACATGTTCGAGGGAATTCTTACTGACGAAATACATTTTATCTAATAATAATATATATATATATATATATATATATATATATATATATATATATATATATATTATTTATTATTTATTTTAGGATAACATGTTAAAATCGCTACACAATTAAAATTATGTCTCAACGCTACAAAAGTGTTTCCTCGGTCGATGTTAAACTTTTAACTTAAAACTTTAAATTTTAAATTAAATCTTTTAAATTAAATGTTACGGACAGTGGAATTATACTTCATTTGTTCTCATCTTCCCTGTGTTTATATATATATATATATAGGCAATCTAAGATGGATATATATATATATATATAGGCAATCTCTAAGATGGATATATATATATATATATATATATATATATATAGGCAATCTCTAAGATGGATATATATATATATATATATATATAGGCAATCTCTAAGATGGATATATATATATATATATATATATATAGGCAACTCTAAGATGGATATATATATATATATATATAGGCAATTCTAATATATATATATATATATATATATATATATATATATATATATAAAATATGATATTATATTTCAGGAAAAAAAAGAAGACCAGGATATTTCTAGAAGATAACATTTTTAAGGCATACGGTTTTTTTTGCAATGTGCTTGCTATCAAGAGCGATCATTAATAATGATAACAATTTATTTGACCAAACATCAGAAATTTTAGAAGAAGGGTCCCTTCTTGTCACGCAGAGAAATTTTCACCAATTACTCGTATGTATTCTCTCGCTACTATTATTATTATTATTATTATTATTTCCGTATTTTTTCATATAAGATTTTAATATATATTCATATGTGTGTGTTTATATGTCTACGTATATAGTCACACACACACAAATATACACAGGGTGCGATGGATAAATTATCGTCTAAATTATGCAAAGAACGAAAATAACACTGATATATCATTTTAACAGATATATTTACCAAAATTACATACAAATATCTTGAAATATTAAGGAGTAAATTTATTCAATAAAATCACCATTGACTTCAACCACGGCCTCCAGACGATTTCGGAATCTCCTGCAGCACTTCTGGTGAATACTGCCACAATCCTTGCTTTCACTTCATCTTTGGTGTTAAGAGGAGTTTTGTTGGTCTCTTGCTCAACTGCGCCCCACATAAGCGGGGAGCTAGATGGCCAGATGTAAGGGGTTGATATGGTCGCAAAAATTATCTGACAACCACGAATAGGTTGTCCTGCTTGTGTGGCATGGTGCAGAGTCCTGTTGCTAGACATAGTGTCTTCCAACAACTTGGTGTAGGCCTCCGTGTTGAATCTGAGGCCCCGTGTGAAGATGAACGGAGGCATAACTTCTCCATCACTAGTGATCACGCCAAACACTATGATGTTGACTGGATCTCTCATCCAATTCTTTCCGAATCCTCTACACTGTCCTCAGATCGACACCTAAACACTCTGAAATGTTTTATTGGAGCTTCTGGTGCGAATGTCAAGCAGTACAGCATGCCGTTTACAAATTTCTGGTGGAGTGAATTGCTTCATGGTATTCTTTTTCTCACAGACAGTGCCTACTATACTGTGCTGTCAACAAAATCAAAAACAACGCGCATGCGCGAAATTAAAAATATAATATGGCGACAATCTATCCCTTGCACCCTGTATCTCTCTCTCTCTCTCTCTCTCTCTCTCTATCTATCTATCTATCTATCTATCTATCTATCTATATAAACGAACATATTTTGCCAAAAAAGGTAGATATGGATATTTCTGGAAGATAATGTTTTTAAGGCAATTAGTCTTTGTAATTAAAGTGTCCGACATCAAGAGATATAAATCACACCATGTAATATTTATCAATGTGTATTTATATATTTCCTGCTCCATCTGTAATGGGAAAGGAGGTAAATCCACTTAATTTAATAAATTTATGAGCGATTACTTACCTTAGTCGTTTTAATAATCTATATAAATAAAATATTTATCTGCATTTACACAAAATTTGATCGATTGATTGATATTTTTATGGCCTATCAACTTTTTTCAGGTTATTTAAAGCCAGAAATTATTTTTAGATTATATGAATTTTTTTGGAGATAATAATTTAAAAGTCCTATTAATGAACCCATAGCTGGGAGGAGAATGGATGGATTTCATAACTTTCTCAAGGGTATTTGCGTGTAAGTGAATATAACAAACCCGACTGAAAGTGGAACTCTGCTTTCAGATTTTCACTTTCGAGCCGTTATCCATTATACCACCAGCACATCCAAGCTTACAGCACTTGGTCACCCGTCTAGATACTGACCAGATTTGACGTTGCTTAATTTCGGTGATCGTACGAGAACAGATGTTTCAACATGATATGACCGTAAGCTTTAGACAAAATTAGTTCCCGAGCAAAATGAACCATTTAATTAATCAGTTCCTTTACGACTTCGTTTCTTCGATTGCAGTCTTATTTGTTTAAGTCCTCCATATGAGGCACACAGATAGCTTTGTTTATTAAGTGATCGTCTTGCTTCAGTTTGGTCTTGAAATAGTCTTTGTCATCGCTGTCTTTGCCGTTCTGTTGCTAATCTTTTTCTTCCGTGAGACATCTCCATTTCACTGTTATATCAAACACATCAAATTTTCAACATGAAAAGATACTGAGCGAAAAGCGATTTATATAATGCCAAGAATGATCAATGAATTATATATACGATTGAGCGCCTGAAAATATAGATGGAATTAAGTAAACGGTTCACTGGCCTCCATTTTGATTGTGAATTCTTTATAGAACCTCAATACATTGTTTCAAGACTTTTGTTTCATTGCATCTCAGTATTAAAACGTTCTAACAATTGCCGCCATTTTTGATGGCACGGGTAACCTAGTAACAAATATACACTTGATTGTAAAAATTGATTGTAGACATTTCTGAGTCAGACATGCTTCCATTCCCACCAGGGTGTGAGTAATCGTGACTCTCTCCATAGTTTCCTGTCCCCCAGTTTCTGTTCTGCCATCCATTTACACAAGTTCATAAGGTTTTCTAATGTTCTGTTTCCTTCTACCACTCCTGCCTTCAATGTGCCATGTGCGTATCAAATTTTCCAAGCTCTCTTTCCGCAATGTGTGTTTCAGAAATTTCAACTTTCTGATTCTATGTATCACTGTCCTTTTTGTTCACATTTTCTTTCAAACTTTGTTGTGGCTCACGTGTTCCGTCCTTGGAATTCTCATCATCCTTCTGTAGAACAGCATTTCTGTTGCCTGAAGTATCTTCATCATCTTTAAAGAAATTATGAGAGGATTGGTATTACATAGCGGATCAACACTATCTTGTTTGTTTCAAATTAAATTTTCCTGTTTCTTAATACTTTGTTTAGCTTTTTGAAGGCATCTTTCGCGATTACGATGCGTTTTCTGATTTCGATATCACATTCTCCGTCGTGCGTTAAAAAACAATATTTAAAATTCAGTACCAGCTTGATTTTGACACCTACAGCTCGCATCTTGGGGTATTCTTCTTGCTGGCGATAATAAATTCTGTCCTCTTACAATTGATGGCTAGTCCTTTCCCGTTTTCACTTACTACATGTTCCAGGGAATTCCCACGGTTTCCTTTCTGGAGCTACCATTAACACAGTGCCATCTTCGTATCTTATGTTGTTAAGATTATTACCGAGGATAAATCCTGGTAGGACATCTAGTTCTCTTAGGATCACCTTGCTGTAATGGTTAAATAAATCCAGTGAGAAAACGTACTTTTCTGTTTTTGTGTACTTTTTCAATACATGTTCTATCCGTATGCAGACGGTTTGCTTCTAGTAATTATTCTGAATTATTCCATCTATCCCAAATAAATAAAAATTTTCCTAGCAGTTCAAATAGGTCTTTCTGTCATGTTTCTCGCTTAGTATATGAACGTAGGTATACGTCCATATGAATTTATACTGCTCGCTCTGATATCATTCTGATCATAAATATAGCATTTCTTGTTCCAGTGTCTTTATCAAAACAACACTGTTTTATTCGGTTCCCATTCTAATTCTGCTGCAACATAAACCGGAGAAGCTTAGTGATGTGGCTCATTAAGCTGATTGTCTATTGGAGTACGCATTCATTTGCACCTGGATTCTTAAGAAGGACGACGAAGATTGATCTCTTAAGGTCTTCCCGTATTTCACCACTGTCGTATATTTCATTTATTATTTCTGTAAACTTATCGTTCTCGAAATCGTCTCAAGCTGACAGTATCTTAGAATCTCATGTGATCCTGCTGCTTTGTTCCTGATCATCTTGGCCAGTGCCGATCTTACCTCAGAGTTTAATATTTCAAGTCCTTCAATGTTTTTGCGTATTATGGGTTTCACTCTCTCGTTGTCAAAGAGATCTTCGACGCACTCTCTCCGTATTTGAAGTATTTTCCCTCTATTATGACCGTTCCTTCTTTAGATTTTATACATCCTGATGAAAACCATCTTTTTTTTTCTGTTATTTAATTTATTCTTTTATGCATACCTACCGTATTTATAACGTTCATTTTTCTCTCTACACACTTTTCATTAAGCCATTCATCTTTTGCCTGTCTGCATTTGTTTTTCATGTTTGTCTTTAATGTTCTATATTCTATATCATTCCTTGGCTTTGCTTGTTGTCTCTTTTTTCATCTTTTCCCCGTCTCTCTTTTCTTGAGAGGATCTGGCGTCTCTAAAGTTTCTCTTAATGTATACCACTTTGAATTTCCAGTCCCATCCAAATTATCATATTTGCTTTTAACTCTGTCAGAATATATCTCTTTGTAAGTTGAGTCATTCAGGAATCGGCGTTTTTTTTTTTTTGTTTTTTGTTTTTTTTCGTATTCTTTCATTTCCGTAATTTTATTCTAAGATTGAATATGAGTGGAAGGTGGATGTTCCCACAGTAAGCACTTTTACAGTCATTTAAAAAGAAACTTTGAATCATGATATGAACAGCGTGAAATAAAACTAACAAGTCGATTGTAAAAATGAATTAGCAAAACATTTTATCGAATTTGAAAATTTAAAGTTTGTGCCGAGAATTATTTACAACTAATATTTTTTTTATTTAGTAGGCTTAGTTTAGTGTTAATCTGAAACAAGGTAGCCGTAATAGGGGTACCTAACTGGGAACAAATTGTATTAAGACGCTTTTTTATCCGTCATCACACTATGATAGGCAACATAAGATATATTTTGCGAAACTCTCACATATATATATATATATATATATGTGTGTGTGAGAGAGATGTGTGTGTGAGATATGTGTGTGTGTGTGTGTGTGTGAGATATATATATATGTGTGTGTGTGTGTGAGATATATATATATATGTGTGTGTGTGTGTGAGATATATATATATATATGTGTGTGTGAGATATATATATATATATATATATGTGTGTGTGATATATATATATGTGTGTGTGTGTGTTATATATGTGTGTGTGATATATATATATGTGTGTGTGTGTGTTATATGTGTGTGTGTGATATATATATATGTGTGTGTGTGTGTTATATGTGTGTGTGTGTGTGATATATATATGTGTGTGTGTGAGTGTGTGAGAGAGAGAGATAGATAACGATATATATTTTTATATCAGGGAAATATTGGGAAAGCGCATGACAAATCTTTTTCCACTTTGTCTTGCATTTTTCCCAGTATATCAGTCAGTTATGTGCCATCATGTAGGCGATCATGTATCGAAAGATACGTGACTGATGAGGCAGATTTTTTCCCGCAGTAGGTTGCCATTTCTTTCCGCGATAGATCAGTTGCAATCCAATGCTATAGAACCCAATCTGTCTTGCTATTTACCCATAGCTGAGATGCGGTGGGGGGGGGGAGAGGATTCATACCTTTTCCATGGGTATTAGCACGTAAGTGAATATAATGAATTCGACTTGAATTTGAACTCGGCTCTCCGATACCTCAATCCGAGCTGCTAAAGTGCTCAATGTACAGTTCAAAATAATCGAAAGTACAGAGCTATTTAATATTTTAAATCCTAAACACACCAACCATTTCTTCTACCGCGTTTTCTTGTCTGAAGAAACAATTTATTGGTGAAAACCGCGATAACAGAAAGGGTTGGTGTATTTTAGTATTTAAAATATTGTTTGTTTGTTTGTGTGTGTGTGTGTGTGTGGAAAGGGATAAATTTTTTATCTATTAATCCGACAGATTTTTTATTACTTAAACGTTATTTTTAGTGGATTCTCGTATTTGAGTAGACGTTCCGTTTATTTATTAAAGAGTAGGGGAAACAGTCATTGAATTTCTTGTGCTTTGAACTCTCGGCTACAGAGTGCGTCGATGACCGAGCAAAGTTGAATAGGGCCTTTAAACCCATATTTCAAGAGTCGGAGCAAAATCCGTGTTTAAAGGTACTGTTCAACTTTGCTTGATCATCGAAGCACTCAGTAGCCGAGATTTCCAAATTACGTTAGATCCTAGGGGAACGCACGTTCGAATCCTGAGAGCGCATATTCTTCTCTAACAAGACTTCTCGAATATTCAGGAGGGTAGACGAAAATAAATAATTAACTGTTTAAGTAATAAATGGAGCGTTAACACAAGTACCAGTATCCGCTAAAAATAACGTTTAAGTAATAAAAAAAATTCCTATTACGTTATTTTGTGGATATCCATGTTTAAGCAGACGCCCTGTTATTATCTTAACCGACTGGCGCATTCTACAGATTTAATAAAAAAAATGTTT